CCATTTTCTCTGCAATCTTCATTTTCTCTCTCCCTCCCTAAATGCAGTTACCACTCGCTCATCGCTGCTATTCTCCGTCTTAGCTCTCATTTTGCCATGGACTTCTCTCCGCTACTCCAACGACTTGCCCTGTCGGTCATCTTCGCGCCTTCGCTGGATCAAGTTTTATGTATGATTTCGATTACTTAGGCGCATAATCTGGATTCTGAGTTCCTTTAGGTTTTCTTCTTCTTCCTATAAATCCTTTTCGCGTTGCGTCTATGTTCTTTCGGATTGTAATTTTGACATTTCAAGGTGAATTCTACAGCTTGCTCGACTTCTAGGGTTCATAGACGTAATTTGGGTTTATTCCTGAGGATGATTTGTTCTCTAATTGTTTTGATTTGTCTGTTCTGTTTCTACCATTTGAGATTGCTTGTAATCTGCATAAACATGGCATTTTTGTTTAGATTATGAGTTCGAAATCTGTTTTTTCGTTGTGACAGAGATGCAAAAGGAGGTACTAGTGTGGTGTGATCTTCAAAAGAAGCTGAGAATTGTGTAAAGGAGATATGAATTTGGGTGGTTGGGATCAGAGATTCATCCAAGGACCAGCTTCTTCTGAATCCGAGGATTCTGCTTTAGATTTGGACAGAAATCATCACTGTAATCTTCCATCATCTTCAACTCCATCTCCTTTTCAGCCATTCACACTCAACATCCAGCACGCAGAGAGCAATGCCCCTTACTTCTCTTGGCCTACTCTCAGTCGGCTTAACGATGCTGTGGAAGACCGAGCAAACTACTTTGGAAATCTCCAGAAAGGGGTTTTACCGGAGATTGTTGGGAGGTTACCTTCAGGACAACAAGCCACCACCTTGCTTGAGCTCATGACCATCAGAGCTTTCCATAGTAAAATCTTGCGCCGCTTTAGTCTTGGTACTGCAGTTGGGTTCCGGATCAGCCGTGGTGTTCTAACGAATATTCCAGCAATACTTGTCTTTGTTGCTAGGAAAGTCCATAGGCAATGGTTAAATCCAATGCAGTGTCTTCCTTCCGCTCTCGAGGTTGAGTTATCTTGTATTCCAAACTATTCTACACACAGACTTTCAGAAATTTAATCGGAGCATATATGATAAGTGATGTACTCATTTCATAACAGGGTCCTGGAGGGGTATGGTGCGATGTAGATGTTGTGGAATTCCAATATTACGGTGCTCCTGCTGCGACGCCAAAGGAACAAGTTTATAATGAACTTGTAGATGGCTTGAGAGGAAGTGATCCCTCCATTGGCTCTGGTTCTCAGGTACATCGTTTTCTTTTTGTTTCCCCTCCTCTGCAATCTGTAACCAAAAAGGTCTCAGTTTTGTTCCCGGTTGTTTAGGTTGCAAGCCAAGAAACGTATGGAACCTTGGGAGCTATTGTGAAAAGCAGAACAGGTAACCATCAGGTTGGTTTCCTTACTAATCGGCATGTCGCAGTTGATTTAGATTATCCAAGCCAGAAAATGTTTCATCCTTTACCGCCAAGCCTTGGACCGGGTGTCTACCTCGGTGCAGTTGAGAGAGCAACATCATTTATCACAGATGACCAGTGGTACGGCATATTTGCTGGCACTAATCCAGGTATTCCAGTTACAATTTCATTGCAAATCTCTTACTGTTCAGGAACCATATCATTTTTGGACATCTTATTTCATACTGACGCCACCGGTTCTGTCTATCTCAATGCAGAAACATTTGTGAGAGCAGACGGTGCCTTTATTCCTTTCGCAGAAAATTTCAACACGAGCAATGTAACCACGGTGATAAAAGGCATAGGTGAGATAGGAGATGTGCACGTTATAGACTTGCAGTCCCCAATTGATAGCCTTATTGGGAAACAAGTTGCTAAAGTTGGAAGAAGCTCTGGATATACTACTGGAACCATAATGGCTTACGCTTTGGAATACAACGACGAGAAAGGAATCTGTTTCCTCACGGATTTTCTGGTAATTGGTGAAAATCAGCAAACTTTTGACCTTGAAGGTGACAGCGGAAGCCTTATACTGTTAACACGTGCAAACGGTCAGAAGCCACGACCTGTTGGGATCATTTGGGGAGGAACAGCCAACCGAGGAAGACTGAAACTAATAGCTGGACAAGAACCCGAGAACTGGACAAGTGGGGTCGATCTTGGTCGCCTTTTGGATCTCTTGGAGCTTGATCTCATCACATCTAACCATGAGCTTGAAGGTTTAGAACTCTAGTCCTAGCTTTTCCTTGTTTCATTAGAATTGTTCCCAGACTTTTAATGCCTTCTTCTTTACAGCCGCAGCCCGAGAACAGAGGAACAGTTCGGTTACAGCCCTCGACTCAACCGTTAGCCAGTCATCCCCGCCCGACCCGGTTCCATCAGGAGACAAACAAGATGAGAGATTTGAGCCATTTATTCCACCGGAGTTTCATATAGAAGACACTATCAAACCAACACCTGAAGTAGAGGAACTTGTGTTCATTGCTCCTATATCATCGGTCAATGAATCAACTTCTTCCGCTAGTAAAGGGCAAGCGAAACACAAATTGGATGATCTTGCCTCTCTAAAGAACAGTTCCGAAGAAGAGGTTAATGTATCGTTGCATCTAGGTGAGCCCAAACAAAAGAAACCACGAGCCTAGCAACGGGGGATATTATTAAACTCGGAGGAGTAAACCGGAAACTGATACCAGTTTCAGTTTCCGGTTTAGTTTGGTTTGATGGATTACATCTCTAAATTTTATGTGGTAATTGTGCATAGTGTTATTATTCTTTGCGGACAAAAATATAAATTCGAAGATGAATGGGGCACACCAAGTTCTGTAGCAAAATTGTGTAAGCTTAAGTTAATACCCAAATGAGGGACATTAAACTGGGGAACGGTTTCGAGTATCTTGGCTATTATTTTCCGGTTTGGCCAACTAGAAACAACTCCTGACTCGAAAGAGAGTTTTATGAAATTTAGGGAGAAAAGTTTTGTCAAGCACCTCTAGACTAAGCTTGTCTTAATGGCAGGAATGTGTAGTATATATATTAACAGTTCTCTAGCGGAAGTTCTTGCTCTCATTGTCCGAACAATTTGTAAATTAAGGTGACAACTATTCTTGAGAAGCATCACTCTTGTACGTAGAAATTTGTTATATATACATGATCGATCATTTATGCTATTGTTCACAGCTTATATATAGAAATTTATCGCATAAAAATTCCTATGCCCTGTAACATATTAAAAACTGCAAAGAACGATCACTAAAATCCAGCAAGGCGTTCAACAAAACTGGCAATGTCATGGTTTTAAATCATAAAATGGGAAGAAAAGCAAATCCGTGAAAAAGAGTAAATGAAAGACATAAAACCAGGATTTGTAAATTGAGAGACTAGCCATCTCGTTTTCTCCTTTTGTCTTAGTACTCCACCCTGACTCGCTTTTCAAGTCTCAACATGTTTTCATCATACTGACGCTTTTCTAAGTCGGTTTGTTGTTTTCGTTTGCCTCCCGCAGATTGCTGGATTTGCACTAAACTTGGAACATAAGAGCACGCATGTGCCCGACAATTGTCCGCATGTTCTCCGAGATCCAATACTTTAAAGTATCCAGCCTCTCTAGTGATGCTCAGTGAGTAGCGATTCAATATTTTTCTGTAAATACCCATGGCGACTTTCTTTTCCTCGTCAATAAAGAAATTCCCATATGAAATGGGATATTCAGGTGCCGTATTCAATGTCAGGAACTTGCTCCACGACACATTTTCGGCCTCAATCTTAGTCTTAACCCATATGTCAAGCTCATAAGGATTTACTTCGTTGTGTGTAAGTAAAACCGCAAGCTTCTCTTCTCTGACACAAGATAAAGTCACATAGTCATCATGCCCAGCGTCAAATGGGAGACGAATAAGTGGTCCAAATCTCTCGCTTGTAAAATCAAAACATATTATGTGACCATCAAGTTCGTCTTCTGAGTTTCTTTGTGAAGCAGGCCAGTAAGTGTTTCCCTTGAGAGAAACACCACGTGAATCAAACAGTATACGCTAATATGGACTGGTATCAAGAGTCGTCCATAAACCCGAGTCGAAATCATAGATTTCATACCAAAATAATTGGTCTTCGGGTTCACCGGTCTCCATGCAATATTTGTCCATAAACCTCAAGAATTTGTGGCTAGGACAAGATCTCTTATCCTCGTACCCTAGAGCGTAACTAAACCTATTCCATCCGTTTGCGCGGTGAGGATATCTACATTCGATCCACCTTGTTTGTCCTAAATACGGATTACAAACCATAACCTTAGTGTTGTCTTCTTTCAAGATGCATAACAATAAGCCCTCACAGTGAAAAACTTGAGACATCTTGACTTCTTCGTTAAGGCAAGTGAGTTTAGCTTTACCTATAATCTCTGTAGATGGATCATTGACAAAGACGCTCACTAAATAAAGATTGTAATCCATCATCACGATCGTCTGAGACTCTCCTTCCCTTGTTGCTGCTCCTCTACGAATGTGCATCTTCCTAAAGCTCTCACTTTTGGTTAAACTGTTCCATTTTTTGCAAGCTAATCGCACTGTGATCATAAAATAGATTTTAAGGGAACCCTAGAGACGATCTCTTTTATCAAATCCCTTGGAAGATCGCTGATCTTCGTCATTGTTTCAATTTGCAGCAAAGGGATTTTTTTGTTGCTTCGATTTCTTTCTTGCGGCTTGAAGTAGGGAGAGGGTATCTATAAGGGTTGACTGCTCTAAGCCCCCTCAACTTTCCACATTCCGCTCTGATCCCTCTAAACTTTTGACCTCTCTATTTCTCTCCCTTATAAAGTATATATCTTCATATTTCTCCCCAAACTATTTAAACTTCTCAAAATTTCTCAAATCGAGTTAAACCACTGATTTTGTTTAATTAACCAAAAATTGTGTTTCAAAAAATACCTTTTAGATTAACTTGGTTCATAATCGCGTTTGATATAACTCGTCTCTTTGTGAAAAATAAGAGTTTTAAATAGGGGTAAGATTCGAATTTTAGCTAAATTCGGGTTATTGTCAACGCGATTAGGTTAGACGAATATCGGTTAATACTCGGTTAATGAAACGCAATCTCGATTTTAGAAATTTTGAAGAGTTTAAATAGTTTAGGGAAATATGAAAAGATGTATTTTTTAAGGGGAAAAAATAGAGAGGTCAAAAGTTCAGGGAGATCGAAGCGGAATGAGAAAAGTTGAGGGGGGGCCAGCACAGTCAACCCTATCTATAAATACGTAACAACTTTCTTTAGTTTCTTAAATATCGAATCAATAAGTAAAATTTATTTTATGGTTAAAAATTTTCTAGTTGTGTTCAATATTCTGTTTGGTTAAAGCTACTATGGATAATATTCTATCGTTTGATTTTAGTTTGTGTTTGCATTTAATCAAAATATCATTTCCTCGTATTAACGGAAAATACTCAAAAGATTTTCAATCATAATTTATAAATAAATGGCACATATAGATGAAGAAAAATATATCAAATTATTTATAAATACGGTCTAGCAATATATATACGATAAAAAAAATTGTGCATATGCGCGGGTATTCACCTAATTTTTATTTAAAAACCCGAGTTATAAAAAAACGATTTCTCTTTTCAAAATAAGAGATCCACTTTTTTTATTCTAACCTATTTTTACCATAACAGGATTTGACTTGAAATTTTACTTTTTTTTCTTTTGTTCAACGACTTGAAATTTTACAAAATTAGAAATATACGATTAAATTTTGCTACGATGGATTATATAGGGAGATATTTACCATGCACAGCCTTAATTTATTGTTATTACATGTTCATGTCTGGAAGATAAAATGTCCATCGAAATTCAAACATTTCATTTTGTAGGTGGTATGTGGTCGTCAAGCAGTGGATTAATAAATTAAAGGGGTAGTAGAGTTTCGTGTGATATCCATTTTTCTTGGTGTCGAACGGAAGACAAAACAATACATACGTTATTCAAATCACTCCTTTTGTCATCATGAATATGTTGACGAAATCACTTTACTCGAACTTAGATTATATATTTCTGCGGCAACAAACTAGTAATCAATCAAATTTAAACAAAAATTATTTCAGTGATCTTTTTGGTTCACATGGAGTTCATAATGATATATATAAAACATTCAAAATGGATAAGATAGGTCCATCATGACATTGTTAATTATGCGAGGAGTAATTTATATGTATGGATGAATGTTCATGTTACCACTTACCAAGAGAACCCCTTCTTCGATTGATATGGCCATTTCATAAGACTTGATGTTAAGCTGATGGATTCTTCTAGAAGGGGAATGATATGTTTTCATGGCAAGACGGCAAAAAGGTATATCTCATAGGAGATCAGGAGTCAATGACAACGGCTTTAGTCTCTGCCCCTTCACTCAAAACTGGAAGCGCTAAAACTATGTATTGTATTGTATGTTGGAACATCGAGATGATTAAATCGTTTTTCAAATCAATAGCTCAGAGTTTGTGAAGATTGATTTTAGATTCATATCGAGGACTATTTTTTACTAAATATTTTCCTCGAGATGTTTCAACGCCTAAACAAAATATTTTGCTTTATCTTCGTTGTTGTTTTGCCTTCATTTTTCGAATTCTAAAAGATGATTGTGTGACGATAGTGCTAGAGTACGTTTTTTTTGTTTATTTCTAAAAAAAGAAGCTCCAACGCTTGTATCTAGAAGAAAGTCATTATTAAAAAAAATGAAAAACTAATAAAAGAGGAGAGATCGAAGATCATTTCTCGTGTGAAAAACTTTTAAAGGAGTATCAGAAACTTTTTGCCACATGTGCATTTAGGATTGGTTCAATCTTTTATATTTAATTATATTAAAAAGTTCGTATAATAGTTATGAAATACTCTAAAGAGTATCCTCACCGTTGGATTTATGTTTTATCGGTTTGATTAACCGAAACATATGTTTAGTCTATCAAATCAGGATGAAAAAAGAAGCTAATGCTTCACTCAATTTCGTAGGATACATGAGAAGCTTTTTCACTTTTCGTAATCGGGTCTTATTTTATGCAATCATGGGTTTACTTCTACTTTTCATTTGCTTTTATGAAAATATTTTGACAAAAAAATCATTAGGGGCTAAACATGCTTTTGGTCAAGTGGGCTCTATAACTCTAATAGTGCCACCAATCAAGCTGAAAATTTTATAATTCAACCGACACCTCTTTATAACATATATCATCTCTATATATTAAAATTAACCTAATAACATCAAAGTATCACATTTCTAATCTCATTCCTTCTGCTTTTAAGAATTTTTTTTTGGTCATTTCTAATTTATTTAGATGCGAAAATTGTTTGTTTTTTGGATCATAACTTCTAACCTTCACAATTTTCAGTTGGTAAGTCCACTCCCTATAATAAGAGCTCCAACGTTCCCACTCATCAAATCATAAAACCAACGAGATGCTCTCTCTCAGCTACTTCTTCTTCCTCTCACTCTTTCTCACATCTTATGGACAACTCTTCGACCAGAGCAAGAACTATGAAGGCTCCTCCGATCTCGTCGACCTTCAATACCACATGGGTCCGGTCATATCCTCGCCCGCGACGAGTCTCTACATTATCTGGTACGGAAGATGGAACCCAACTCACCAATCTACAATCCGAGACTTCCTCTACTCTGTCTCTTCACCGACACCGGTTCGGTACCCGTCTGTATCCGACTGGTGGAAGACCGTGAGGCTATACAGAGACCAGACAGGATCCAACATCACCGGAACACTTGTCTTGTCCGGAGAGTTCCACGACTCAACCTACTCCCATGGATCTCACCTCACTCGCTTCTCTGTTCAGTCTCTCATCAGAACTGCCGTGGCGTCCAAGTTACCACTAAACGGTCTGAACGGCTTGTACCTAGTCTTAACCTCAGATGATGTAGAGATGCAGGAGTTCTGCAGAGCAATCTGTGGTTTTCATTACTTCACTTTCCCAAGCATCGTTGGTGCAACCGTACCGTACGTTTGGGTTGGGAACAGTATAAAACAGTGTCCAGAAATGTGCGCTTACCCATTTGCGCAGCCTAAGCCGTTTCCGGGAAGCGGGTTTGTGGCCAGACAGACGATGAAACCGCCAAACGGGGAAGTTGGGATCGATGGGATGATCAGTGTGATAGCTCATGAGCTGGCGGAAGTGTCGAGTAACCCGATGTTGAACGGATGGTATGGAGGAGAGGATGCGACGGCACCAACTGAGATAGCGGATTTATGTTTGGGAGTGTATGGATCAGGAGGAGGAGGAGGGTACATGGGGAGTGTGTACAAGGATAGGTGGAGGAATGTGTATAATGTGAATGGAGTTAAAGGAAGAAAGTATCTGATTCAATGGGTTTGGGATCTTACGAGGAGCAGATGCTTTGGACCAAACGCTATGAATTAGTTACAGTAGTGTTTGTTACCTCTCTTCGCAAAAGCCTTGAGCTTGAAGTTTTGAGAGAACCTGTATATTTATATTATTGAATCAAAGAGAGAAGAAAGCCATATGGTTAATTATCTTTGCAGTACGAAGTCGAATCTCTGCATTTGTCAGTTTAAAGATTGTCCAATATCTGTCTAATTTCACTTGACAAAGTTTCTGAACCAAACACATGCTTTGTCATCAGCATAAAACTCTCCAACTATCTAAAACTGCTCTTCTGCCAAAAGCTTGTAAGCATTGATTCTATGCTTCACTATTGTCAACATGTTTAAGAAGACAGATAATACTTACACCACCAAAACTGCTACTTTCATCTTCGGAAGAAACTAAAAGACACAACACCCCACACCTTCAAGGCCTTGTTTGGGTGGTGGTTATTGATCCTCCCTTCCAAGGAAGGCATGCACGGGGACTTCACTAGCTGACTGTGAGGCCAAGATATTTTCGATAGGATTATCATTGTTTCCTCCATCCTTTTCCGAGTTATCTTCAATGAGTTTTGGCCTCAGCAGCTTCCTTTTCTTGTTTGGTAGAGCTGAATGCTCGGGGCTGCCTTTACGCCCTTGAGTTGGATTACCATAGGCCTTTTGAGCTTTGCTACGACGCTGGAAATCAATGAATGGTAGCTTTTGAGCATTATGTTCCATACTTTCTTCACAATCCGACGGATCGTCTGGAGTAGTCTCAGTTAAAGGAAGCATCAAATCATTGTCAAGTACCTCTCTTTTATGACTATTTTCCTTTTTCTTCTTTTGATTTCCAAAATACTCGGGATTACTCATCTTTGATCTTTTTGGCTCCATCCAATGTTTGCGACAATCGTTTAGAAAGGCCATGACCTCATCGACTGATTCATTGTCCGGAGAAGTATCCTTTTCAGCATCACGTTCTTTTGAAGGCAAATCCAGCCTACTGAAGACGCTCTTTCTAGCTCTCTTTCTTTCAAGTTCAGCGGGATTAACATGATCTTCCATTCGAATAACCCTATTGTAAGGGTCAAAAGCATCACCACCAAATTCTTCACGATGTTGATAAGTTTGACCTTGGTTCTTAGGTCTGTTCTCTGGGTACAAATCAACTCCATCCCCTGATGTTGAAGGATAAGTAAAAGAAGGGTAAATTTGCGAATCCCGAACCACCCTATCATTTGAATAAGAAACAGGACCTCCAAATTCTTCCTGGTGTTGATATGCTGAAATGTCATTGTTAACTCCGTCTTTAGGAGACAGATCCCTTGATGGTAAAGGATAAGCAAAGGAAGGGAAGATGTTGTGGCTGGAGTAAGACAGTCCCTCAAAGTTCCTTGTGTTCTCAATGGCCCCTGCGGAAGTTAAGAGATCAGGAAACTGAGAATGACGCAGATGATCATTTCTAGATGCAGATTCAGAACAAGCAACTTCAATCATGCCGGTACTAGTTTGGTATTCAGGATATTCAGTAGGCATTGGAATATAGAGATCCAAGCCCAGACGACCAGTCCTGTTCATGCTTGCACCATTATGCTTATCAGCAAATGGTTGGACTGTCTCAGATGACAAGGTGTCACTGACATATCCACCACCAGGTATAAATTCTTCTTTCAAAACATGATTTGAGTTGGCTATAAAGGAAGCTGAGCCCATTGAATCAACATCAGGTGCACCAAAATCAAGCCTAGAGCTTTTCATCATTGCATCTCCCATGATCCCAGGATTACAAGGGTCATAGTATCCTGTGTTTGTTCCATATGGTGATTCTAGACGTACTGTGCTTTGAGCAGGAACCACTGGATCTGCCTCAAAATTAAGGCGTTCCTCGTAGTTAGACCATAAACTCGCCTGTGCAGTACCACCATCCTTTTCATGGTACTCGTCTTTTAACCAGCCACTTGTAGTGTGTCTCAAGTTCTTTGGGGCTCTTTGATCATGTACTATAGAATTACTATTTAAAGCATCTCTCCCAAAGCTATTACTCATGCTAAAGTCATCTCCTACTATATCCTTTGACCCATGCAATTTGGGATCAACGAGTCTCCTACCAACCTCAGATGTCTCTCTGGAGTACACATTCCCTTGAGTTGAATCATACTCTATGCCAATATCAGATTTATTCCCAAGATCATAATTTTCTGTTAACCTACGACCAACAAGATCGCCTGCAGATGTGACTCTGTAGGGCATCTCAAGGTCAACATCTCCATCAGTTTCTCCTGCACAACGATTCCCAAAGCCACGGTCACCAGCTGTATTTCCCATACTCTTTGCAGATTTTCTTGTGGGTTTTGCAGCTTCAGTTTTTCTCAGTCGTGATCTCTCTACTTTCTTCAAGCTAAACAACTTCAATAGCCTTTGAACCTGCAAATAACATTTTCAAATAGAGAATGTTAGACCACATGGGAAAGTAAAGCAACCCGCATAAAAAAAGACCAAACAGGGATAATTGGAGACAATAACCATGATAATTCAGCAATGTTTAGATTTACACGAGAAAATTAGCCACACCTGAGCCTTTGATAGTCCAAAATTGAACTTCTTTGCCGTAAAGTAATTTTCACTGATAGCATCACGAAACTCGCTTTCACGAAGGGGCCTACAATGCCACATCTCAGTAAACTTGACCTAAGAAAATGAGATTAATGGAAAAAGTGTTAGACGCACACTTAGTTTCTTAAATAAATCTCACAAAGAGAATTCAGAGGTCGATAGGAAGTAGTACGAGAATGAATTCCAAAGTACCTGAGCGGGAAACTGTTTCCCAGAGTAGTGGAATGCATATGGCTCAATGTTTATTGCACCATCAGAGCATGCCTGAAATACACCATGTAGCTCTCTACTCTCAAATTCAAACAAAAACAATACCATCCCAGCTTTGACCTGTTTTACAAAGTCGGCTTGCCCAATTGGCAAACCGAAAAGTTCTCGCTTAAGGCATTCCTTTCTGGTGGAGCAATTAGACATGAAAATTGCACCGTATTCTGGATATTCTCCAGAAGCACCGTTGGATTCCTCCATAAGCTTCATCATCCGATATTTTGGCATGCTGTTACAGAAAACTAGAATAACAACAATACTAATTTTCCTCCACTTAATAAAAAAACACTAAAAATCAGGAGACTTGAGAAGCTAAAACACCAATCGATGAACACACACACACAGATCAAAACAGGGCATCAAATTTTGACAAAACAGGGCAATTGCAGGTAGCATTACAAAGGTGATACCAAGTATGTTAGATAATCATAACTAGTAGTACATATTAAACACATATATCAAAGTCTCACTTTTTTTTCAGAAAGTTAACTAGTAGTACCTTCATGGCTTGAATAATATTCTAATGAACACTCGAAGGAAAGCAAATTTTGCATACCGTATAAAGTAAGCCCTTGAACCCAAAATCATAAACAGTCGT